TACAAAATGGCCACAACTCAAGAGTCTCATACCATAATGGCTGCCAACCTAGAGACTTTGTACAAAATGGCTGCCATTCCAGAGCCTCGTCACAACATGGCCACCATTCTAGAGTCTGCTCACGTCAAGACTGCCACGCCCGAGTACCCGGCCAAGATGGCCGCCACGCCTGAGTCCCCGGCCAAGATGGCCACCACGCCTGAGTCCCCGGCCAAGATGGCCCCCACGCCTGAGTCTCATCGCAAGATGGCCACCATGCCTGAGCCTCGCCATGTCACGCCTATCACCAAGATTTCCCCAAAGGATTTTTTTTTTGGGGGGGGCGGGTTTCCAGCGGACGCGGAGCTTGGGCTAGGACTGAAAAGGCTGATTGCTAACATGATGGACTCCCCACTAATGTCAGTGAGAGCTGCAGGCATCCCGGTGACGTCAGCGCTCTCAAGCCCAGCCAGCTTAGAGGTCCTGCCACCCTCTGCTGCCCTTCCTTTAATGGTGATCGCCATTTTGAGCATGTGGGCTGCACACTGCACTCCAGAGGCCTCTCCTGTCCATGAATCTGCCACAGAGGCCTCTTCTGTCCACGAGTCTGCCCCAGAGGCCTCTCCTGTCCACAAGTCCACTCCAGAAGCCTCTCCTGTCTATGAATTTGCCTCAGAGGCCTCTTCTGTCCGTGAGACTGCCCCAGAGGCCTCTCATTTCCACGAATTGTCTCCAGTGCCTCCAGAGGTGGCGGCGTCCATGGCAGAACCTCCCAAGGCGGTGGCGCCCACCCATGAACTCTCTCCCTGTCCTGTCATGGCCAAGGAGGCCGTCCATGAACTCTCTGCCTGTCCTGTCATGGCCAAGGAGGCCGTTCATGAACTCTCTGCCTGTCCTGTCATGGCCAAGGAGGCCGTTCATGAACTCTCTGCCTGTCCTGTCATGGCCATGGAGACCGTCCATGAACTCATAGTCTGTCCAGCTACAGCCATGGAGGCTGTCCATGAACTCTTTGCCCATCCAGTCACTGCCAAGGGGCCCATCTATGAACTCTCTGCTTGTCCTGTTACGGCCGTAGAGGCTGTTGTTAACCTCTCTATGCTCTGTGTTCCAGTCTCGCCTGATCCGCCGTGGTGGTTCCCTGCACCATCGGCTCCACTGAAGGGGTCATCTGCTCCACCGTGGGGATCTTCGGCCGGTCTGTTCCACTGTGGAGGTCTTCAGCACCGCCGGCTCCGCCCTGGCTTCCTGCTCCACCCTGGATTTCTGCTCTGCTGGCTCTGACCTGGTGGTCTCCTGGTCCACAG